GAGGTTGACCCGTGGCTTGGTTGCCATGGTTACCTCTTGCCAGCTAGTTGCCATCGCCTACCGCTTTGCCAGGCACCTACTCTCCATCGTAACGACAAGTTAATTTTTGAAAAAACAAATTAAGACTACCATATATCAGGGGGAGGGGGCAATAACACCCTAAGCTCCCCTGCCAACCCCCCTGGTGTATCAAATGGCTAGGAGTATAATTTCACGATATATATTTCATGAGTTTGACAGAGAAAATGTATGTGAAATTGGAATGTAAATGAAAATGGTAGACTAGCTGTGGTTGAGCAATTTCTATCGTATTTTAACTAATTAATTATTCATAATAAAAAAATATTTTAATATCAATCTACTTCCCATGTTCCATTTTGGTCTTAACTTTTACATTCAGTTTTTTGAACCCAACAATGATTTTACATTAAGGTATATATGGCCAACATAATGAATTATTGATACATACCTCTAACAATCAGTACCCCTTGGAATGTGGTCATATTATGAAGGTCATAGGGTCATCACCAGGTTACCACATCAATTATCATCTTGATAATGAGGTCAATACTCATACATTAAGGTGAGTCCATAATTTGTATTGAAGGTCACATGGTCATCACCAGGTAATACTGCATTAATTATCTTGATAATGAGGTCAATACTCATACAGCCAAAGGTGAGTCCATAATTTTGTATTGAAGGTCACAGGGTCATCAACAGGTTATCACATTGTTTAACATCTTGATAATCAGTTCAGTACTAATGTATCTTAATGTATCTTAATGTATTCAAGATTATTTCAGCAAAGTTCCAGCTCGAATGAAAGAGTTTTAATTTTGGAGCGATTTTCGTCCAAGTGGCCCTTTAACAAGGTGAGTCCATATTGTTATTAAAGTCTTTTGCTTCTTGTTTTAGTGCATTTAATCCATCATTACGAGATTGACACTGAACTTTGCCATTTTTAGCTTGCTGGTTGGCGTGTATATATTGGTTAGGGTCGAGG